GTTTAGGGTGTTAGATTGTTTGTTGAAGTAGTTGATGCCACGACAGTGGATCCTCTTGAATCTGTGGTTGAGTTCTAGATTGGTTCATAACTTGATAACCTGAATAATTGCTTGGTTTTGATGTCCTAATCCCTGAGATATCCCTTGACCTAACTCTTTTATTATCATTGCTTACACCGTATTTACATATTTGCTTTCTAATCGTGACAACTTAAAACCACTTGATCGNTTAGCTGAAATTGTGTTCCATAAGATTAGAGTGTATTGCTGGTNCCTTTGAACGAACCTCACTATTCTACATCAAATTAGTGATCCTTAGGTTTAAACTAATAAAACCCGAATAAAGGACTATTATCATGATTCTTTCATAAATTTCAATTCCAATTCTTTGATAATGTTATTGTTTGTTTTGATTGACTGAAAACAAATGAATCTAATGGTTATGGTCCAATTATTATTTTAAAACAATATTACAGCGTACACAAAAGACATTCGCCCATAGTTTTTCTTTCTCCCAGGCACATCTTCCAAGGCACCGTTGCACACACAGAACCACCGAAATGGATCTCCGCCTCCGCTCCGCTCCTCTGCGGCCAGACCTTTCCCCTAGGCATAACCTCCCTTCTCTGAAGCAGGCGTCGTGTATCCTTTCCACCGCAACAGCTTTTCCGGTGAGACCTTTTCCAGCAAATCTCTCTCTTTCGGGGAAGAACACTCATCATCTCTAGCTTAACCATCGTATCATGGCTTTGGCGAAGAAGAACTTCCGCACGGTGGCCTCGTCTCTGTTGGAGATGACAGAATTGTCTATCAATCTTCTCGCCTTAACTATATCTGACATCATCGGCGAGACTCCAGTCACCCCCTCCAGCTCCGACTCAGATTTGGGTCGTAATCTCTCGAAAACTTGTATCACCTCTCGAAAACTCGGTTACATCATCGCTGACAACCTCCAGCCATCTCCGCTGCGTTCTCTCTTAAGCTCAAAGGTCTTCATCGATGAATATCTCGCCATAGAGATGGGGTCTCCTGTGACCTTTTACTGCCTCGCCGTCATCACTCATTGGGATAAAGATATGGGCCTGGCCCATGACTCCCTCTTCCAATCCAATCTCCCTTTAGTGGATTTTGAACCTAACCCAAGCCCGGAAACATTTTGCATTTGCACATACTTCACTGTGTCGCTTTTGGTTGAGGGATTAAACTTCCATGTACTGTGTTTGTCCACCGCCAACAATTTTCTCCTACGTGGAGAGATCGTATCAATTGCATAATGGAGCGACAAATTTCATCAACTTCCTCCACTATGGAGATATCGCTTTCATCATTTTCTTCCGTTTCAGAGAGAACCATTTCACCAACCGTTTTCTTTGTGGAAAACGTTTTTAAACGCTCAGTCTTAAAAGCATTACGAGCTAAAATTTTCGTTCATTCACCTCTAATGGTAGAAGAACTAGCCCTTTCAAAGGAGTTTCCAGTTATTATCTATGATTGTAACCATTTATCTTATCTTTGTCATGTCTTGTATTTCAATGTTGCTTTAAGTTCAAGTTTGGATTATTTGGCATCGAGTTCTCGGCTTCTTCGAGTTGTTGTAACTGCATTTTAAGATTAATATAAGATATTTTGTTAAAAAAAAATAGTTATGGTCAGGATCGTGCCTATCTGATAGAAAAGAAATGTTTATGGCTTCTGAATCAGGATCGTGTCTATCTGATAGAAAAGAAATGCTTATGGCCACTTAAATATTTCCTTATTATATATATGTGGTTTGATGATAATGATATTTGTAAATTTTATCCGTAAACACCAATTTTAACTTTCAAGGTTGCTTATGTTTTTATGTTTTTATTTATCATTATTCTATTCATGTATATTTTAATCCACATCCACTCTATTTTTTTCTCACACCACATTGGCTTTATACTGTTTCAATCATTTGTTTTTGGGTTTCTTTTCGATATATTTTATGTACTTTTATTTATGAGTAAATTAGGTAGATAACAAAAAATTATACATAAATTGGCAAACTAACTAAAGTTGTGGGTATTCCTTTAAAAAACACTAGGGGGTTTGCACATGCTTTGGCTATATTGCCAATTACCCCATTATTCTTTGTCATGAGATGCAAATTCTC